CAGAGTCTGTACCCACACCTAATAACTCCTCCACTCCCCACTGCCTGGTACCCCCAGCTGTGCCCAGGCCCAGAATGCCACACCTGGCTCACACATATCTCTCCTAACTGTGCTTCCAGCAGAATGCCCATCCAGCCCAGACGTACCTCTTCTAACCGTGTACGCTTCTCAGAAGGCTCTGACCCATCACTGTCACTTCCTGAGAGATCTTCATCCTCTGCTTCGTCCCTGAAGATGTCATCATAGGCAGGAACCTCAAGGTCGTCCTCCTGTTTAATGAGCAATTTGATCTAGGGAGTAAAAAAAAGCAATCAATTTTTTCTCTCCCTGCCAGAAAACAATTTCTCATGATGCTCATGTAGAATCTCACTCTGGCTTCTAAGCTTTCTGCACATTCAGACAGCACCTGTCTAAGAAGAGTCCAGGCTTCTCTGTGCCACTCAGTAAGGCACTACCGCTGTCCTGCATGGCATGCAGAAATTATGAAACTAAGTTTTGAAAAGCATTTACAGTCTATTGTAAATCCGGGCAACATTTCTTTCTTATGCTATACGTTAAAAAAAAAAAAAGTTCCTTTTGATAGAGGGTATGAAAATGTTGCTACAGTTAGCTACCTGGATATGGTTTATCCCCCAAAGGATCCACCAAGTCAGAAGCTTGCTGCCTGTGTAGGGTGTTGAGTAGAGCCATTTAAAGGTGGGGGCTCTCCCTTTACTGACGCAGTAACACCATCTCTCTGAAGTGTGTCAGGTCTCGTAGAGACCTAGTCTCCATGTGCAGGATGGTTATAAAACTTCCTCAGCTTGCTCTGTTGTTTCCTATCTAACCATGGAAATGTTTCTCACTCTCCCCCACACTCCCTCTATTGGGAAACCATTCCCCATAGGCGTCTCACAAGAATTCAGCGGATGTTTGCACCATGCTCCTAAATATCGAGCACAGTAAGTTAAATGTAACTTTTACCTATGAAGAAGTGCCCAGTCTCAGACATTGTCTTATACAGAACAAATGGGTCAAGACAGACATGAGGATTTCAGAGCTGAAAACCACGTGGAAGGAGATCAAGTCATAGAATGCTTAGACAGGTGGTCTATGCTAGGCTGCATATTTAACAAGGAGAAGTTCAGAATAGGTATAGTAGAGCCATTTGGGGCTAAAATATTCTGACTCTCCCCCTTGAGATGATGCAAGCTCCACGGATGTGCTGTGTATATACCCACAAGCAGATTAAGATGAGGTTCTTGCATTGAAGATACCCCATAACTAGAGAAACGGGAAGCATACTTTGCAAATAAGATCCTTGCAATGTTGCCACAGCATAAAAAGACACAGACTGGTTAAAGGGAGAGCACATATAAGGGACGGCTCAAGGTACCTGAGTGTCATTGTACACATTCACAACGTTGACTGGCCTGTGGGTATCACACACAAAAAATACACTGTCTTCATCAGGTTGAAGGATTTCCAATAGGTCGACATTGGCTCCACAGTTTATGAGGATAAAATAGGAGAACTGAAAGGAGATGGAGACACTGTAAAGGAACTGCGCCAAGGAGGCCCCTCCTCCTTCAGCCCTGTCAGTCTCTGTGCTCTTCTGCCAGCAAGGCCCAGGAGGAGTGGTGCAGCTTGAAAACTGCCCACAGCAGGCTTGGCTATTGCCCTTCCGAGGTCACACTGTAAAATAGGCTCTGGGGCGCTTCTTGCTTCCTGAAGATCGTGCTGAGGCTTAGCAAACTCAAGACTTGTGCAAAGATTCAAACAGCTAGTGAAGAACAGACCAAGACTTTACACATATACCAAAGACTCTCTGAATATTGCCGAACTATACCCTCCTCTGCTGCCTTACCACATTAACAACATTGTGTGTGTTAGTTTGCAGGAAATCTTGGGCAGCCCATACCTCATGGCCTCCTAAATATTAAGTCCTTTATCAAATTACCCACTACAGCAAAATCTTCCCTTAGTAACACCCAATTGCCTGGCTGTGGGCTCACATCTGTACTATAACCCTTAGAAGGCCAAGGAAGGGGGAACTGCCCAAGAGTTAAGGTCAGCCTGGGCTATCAAGAAAGATCTCGCCAGGCGGTGGTGGTGGTGCATGCCTTTAATCCCAGCACTGGGGGGGGGAGGGCAGAGGCAGGCGGATCTCTGTGAGTTCGAGGCCAGCCTAGTCTACAAGAGCTAGTTCCAGGAGAGGAACCAAAAAGCTACGGAGAAACCATGTCTCGAAAATCAAAAAAAAAAAAAAAAAAAAAAAAAAAAAAAAAAAAATCTCGTCTCACAACACTGAGGGAGAAAACTCAATTGGTGTAGGTGCTTCAAATTATAAATAAATCTCTTCCAAGTCATCCTAGAAGTGGCCAGGGATTCCAGAGACCCTCTGACGTGCCCTACCCCCGCTCTACCGGTCCCACAATGTCCCATATTTTTGTCTGATCCCAGGTACAGGTAAGGAGTCTTGGTTCTGCCATTTAATTCCAAGGGGAAAACATGGATTTGGAAACTGGAATGGATTTTCTTGGAGATAACAGAAAGAAGTAGTGTATCCTAGGAGAATAAGTGAGGTCAGAGCAGGTGCTGTCCATATCCATACCATTTTTATTTTTGAGACAGGATCTTGTTATGTAGCGGAGGCTGGCCTCAAACTTGCTATATGTAGTTCAGACTTGCCTCAGATTGTTTTTTCTTTTTTTTTTTTTTTTTTTGGCAAATGTTGATACTTTCAAAACATACTTATCCTACTTTAGAACTAGAAAGAACACTAAGTATTAAGAAACATCTATCAAGTAGAGAAGCCTAATTATTCTAAAATTCATTATTTCATACCTGCTCTTTATGTTCAAGAAATGCAGTTTCAAGTTCTTGCCACCCAGAAACTGGAACCAGCGTATACTGCACGTGGTCACACTGAAACAGGGCCTGGAGGAAGAGCACACCGTTAGAACCCATCATTCAGGATAACTTACCTTGAGTCACCATAAGCAAACAAACAAATTAGCTGAGCTGAAATAAAGATCTACGTGACCTGCTATTTGGTAAAACGTCAGGAGCTTGGCGGTGGTAGCATAAACCTTTAATCCCGCAATTGGGAGGCAGAGGCAGGCAGATCTCTGAGTCAAGGCCAGCCTGGTCTACAGAGCTAGGTCTAGGACAGCCAGGGCTACATGAAGAAACCCTGTCTAAAAAAAAAAAAAAAAAAAAAAAAAAAAAAAAAAAAAGGAAGGAAGGAAGGAAGAAGAAAAAAAGATAGATTTGAGGTTTATAGATGTTTTAAGGGTCTGAGAAAATAATTTTTAAAAATAATAAAACTTACAGACTGCCAGGAGATGGTGGCACACACCTTAAATCCCAGCTCTCGGGAGACAGATGCAGGCAGATTTCTGAGTTCAAGGCCAGCCTGGTCTACAGAGTGAGTTCCAGGACAGTCAGGGCTACAGAGAGAAACCCTGTCTTGAAAAAAACAAAAAACAAAAAACCACCGCCACCAACAACAAAAAATCATCAGTAGGAAAGGTCAGGGTGTGAATGTTCAATGTACAATTCTGTCAAATCTGTCAAATTTTGCTAAAGAAAAACACTGAGGGAAAAGGTAATTTTAATTACTGGTGTTCTGAAAAGTTTCTGACCCCCAGTCAATGTAAAAGCCACAGTATAGTCAAAGCCTAGACCAATGATCTTCTCTAAGAGACTGGGGACTCCAGTTTTTCCAGCACTCATTGTGACGCCACGCCCAGCTATCACAGCCCTCTCTCAAATTCCATCTTTGAGAAGTCTTTTACAGGTTCAAAGATTTCAAAAGTGAAACCCTTTTCATTTGAGTTAGTGTAAAACAAAACACGATACACTACTGTCTCACCACTTACACTACACTCCTCTAGTCCCAGCATATTTCAGAAGGGCGGTTGGACCCCTCCTTGGGTCACCAGCTCCTCAGCTCTCTCAGGTCCCTCCCCTTCTGTGTCCCACCTCCTGCTGGGGTCCAACCCCGTTGCTTCACCTCTCATCCCTGCGCTACCTTCCTAAGGTATTCAAAGCTCACCTGAAGAATCTTGCAAGCACACAAGGCATCCACATCCGAGGCCACAAAGAGAAGGACCCTCTGTTGAAGGAAACGCGGACAGGTAGGTTGAACACAAGGACCTCAAACTCTGTGGCAACACCCAGTCCTCCTGGCCTATTCACGGACACTCGCCCTTATTATCCCTTCCCCTCAGACAAGGTTTGGACCAGGATCGTGAAATGGGAGTCACCTGATTGTGGACCAGCTCGTAGAACTCCTTGCGGAAATCGGACACGAACATAGCCACAACAGCCGGATACCCAGGGCTGACGCTAAGACACCGATAGCCCCTGAGGTGGTCAAGACTCCCGCCAAATCACGGCTCTCCCGATTGGCCCACGCCAGCAGCCAATAGTTCTTGGCTATTTCCTCCTTTCTGATTGGGTCCTTTTGGGGACAGCCAATGAAGTTCTGCTATTCGCAGTTAGAGAAGTCTCGCCCGCCCCCCTAAAGAAGCATCATCTTGAGTCAGGCTACGAACCTTGTTACTCCCTTTGTCTTGTAACTCCCTTCCAGTTACCCAAAGCTCCCTACGCTCGGCAGGCATATTTACTTAGGGAAGGGATGCCTACCATCTCACCCTAGGAAAAATATACTCGTAGGCATAAATAAATTCAGTTACATATCGTTTGAGGACGGCAATTACGTTTTCAATGGACTGGTCGAACTGGAACGTTGATATATAGCGTACTTCCGCCCGAGTCCATAATGGCTGAAGCCAAACCCGGAAGCATTCTGGGTATTGTAGTCAACAACAAGACTGGGTCGTACCAACTTTATTCGGAAAGGACTACTATCTAGACATTACAAATAATTGCTGTTCTGTGAAATAAGTTATTAAGTGTTTTAGTCTTTTCTCTGAATACTTTTCAAACTTCAGGCCTCTCTGTGGCTCTCTGGTTTCCGCTTACGACGCCAAGCCGCGGTACCCTCCCTGAGATCTCCCTAGCGTCACTTCCGGAGAACCTCTCGCGGGCTCTGGGTTTCAGAGCGGCGGCTGCGGCTGTGAAGAAGGAGCTCGGGATTTCTATTGTAAGGTTCACGAAGAGAAGCGGTGTCACCAAGTGCTGTCAGCCATGGTAAGCTGGTTTGGGATCGGGAGCCGGGTGAGGCCAGTGCTGCCTGCGGCGCTCGGCGGGGAAGGCCTGGACCTGGCGGCGGAGGTGCCGAGTCACCCCGGCCTGCGTCCGGCTCGTTCCTCCGTCCTCCCGAGCGAGCGCGTCTATCCCAAGTGGGAGCCATCGTTACGAGCCGCCTCTTTTCCTCTTAGCTTGTCGGAGTTATGACTCGTATGCTTCTCGGCGGTACTGCAGGTCTTGAGAGTAGAAAGGAACCTGCTACTTTGTGTACATAGTTCTCCTAAGAGCTCGATACGCAACAGGTTTCCATTAATTCAAAAGTTAACTGGAGAGTTCCTGGGGAGTGGCGCCAGGGAGGAAAATCCGAAGGACATTAAGCTTTGCCTAAGTTCTGCGGCCTTTTATGCAGTGGAGATAATATCTTAGGATATATGTCACATTGTGTTCCTCACGTGATAACAACAGTAGATAATATTTTGGGCGCTTTTTTCTGTCAGTGCATCCTTGTTTAACTCCTGCAGTCCTCTGGGAACATAGGTAGTTATTATACGAACCGAGAGATCTAAAACGTACAGAGGTAGTAATCACGAAAGCGAGGCACTGAGATTTGAAGTCACACCCATCTGGCTGTAATGATGTTTCCTTATGTAGTGTTGACTCCATGTCACTTATTTGTTAAAAAAAATAGGAAGTGCTTATTAGATTTTTACCCTGAGTGTCACTGCTATCCAATTTCTAAGTTCACTCATGTAACCCGCACTGAGTACTTTTTTTGTTTTGTTTTGTTTTGTTTTGTTTTTCAAGACAGGGTTTCTCTGTGGCTTTGGAGCCTGTCCTGGAACTAGCTCTGTAGACCAGGCTGGTCTCGAACTCACAGAGATCCGCCTGCCTCTGCCTCCCGAGTGCTGGGATTAAAGGCATGCGCCACCATCGCCCGGCCCGCACTGAGTACTTGATGTGTTAGGTATCAAAGCTTGAAACATGGATGATAAAGCAGTAAAGGAGGAGCAGGCAGTCATGTAACATAACTCTAAGTGTGTTATTTATGTTTCAGAGAAGCAAGTAGCATAGATGGGAGGCTTAGGGAAGGAGTTTTGATGAGCGCACCTCGCACCCCTTCAGAAGGGTTTTGTGGATTATGCACCTAAGACTGAGTCACACAGTTCTGATGCTTAAAGACAAAAATAAAAGATTGAAAACGTCTGTGCTAGTAGCTGAAGAACCATCTTTTAAGATTTATTGGTGGGGATGTGTGGGTGCACGCGTGTGCATGTGGAGGTCAGCAGACCACCATGGGTGTGCCTCCTCACGTCTTGACTTTGCTTGCCAGTGTGAGAAAATACTTGAGATAGCACAGGGTGCATATGTTCTGGGCTGAGAACATTCTGGAGAAGCACTAACCCTGACTCATGGCCAAGCAAAGGAGACTTGCTGCAGAAAGAAAGGGGTTGTAGTAAAAAGCCCGATGAGGGCAGGTACACATGGGTGGGCATACACGCAACTGCTTTCCCACCACCGGGAATGCCTTTTTGTTCTGCCCAGTTGCTTCTCATGACATGTGGGTCTCTAGTGAGGATCTCCTCCAGAACACTTGTTTAACATCCTTCCATTCTCAGGTGCTCTCTGCCCCCATAGCTGCTTCTTGTCTTTAAAACTCCTGGGCATTCATGTTTTATTGTTATATTCCTTGTCTTTAATATGAGATTCACCAGAACAGAGGTAGTATTTTCCTTGTTGGTACCAAATATTATGAAAGTGATGTTCTTTAAAACCCCGATCAGAGCCGGGCAGTGGTGGCGCACGCCTTTAATCCCAGCACTTGGGAGGCAGAGGCAGGCGGATCTCTGTGAGTTCGAGACCAGCCTGGTCTACAAGAGCTAGTTCCAGGACAGGCTCCAAAACCACAGAGAAACCCTGTCTCGAAAAAAAAAAAAACCGATCAGATCCGCACAAATAGTAGGCACTCAGTAAAAGAGGTGGTTATTCTGTGTTAAGGGTGGAGGGGAAAGGGCTCCAGACAGAGTTACAAGCCCAGACAGGAACGTGCCAGGTTAGGTGATGGTGGGTGGTCGGTAATGAGTCTCTAAGAGGTGTTTGTAAGGTCTGGCCTTGACCTGAGACTAGGGAGTAGTAGCAGAACCTGGGAAGGCCTGGTATGACTAAGTCTCACATTTTTGTAAAGTTGCATTGTCTACAGAAAGTGGAAACTGGACCTGAGGGAAGAGACTGGGGTAGCAAAAAAGGATGAGGTTCGTTGTGCTACCTAGGAAGTCAGGACATTCTGGTTAATGAGAGTTTAGTTTATTGTAGTCTTTGGCCACATTTATCAGCACTGATGACGTGACATGTCCAGTATTTGGCTTGAAGAAATGTACCTTTGAGCCAGATACAGTGGCTGCACTTGTAGTTCCAGTTGTGTGGTGTAGCACGGGGTAATAACCCAAAGATGGAAATTGTGGTTCAACCCCAAAACCAGAAAAGCAAAGCAGCGAAATCACTGGTCTTCAGACAAGATTTTTTTCATCAATATACAAATAATAAACAGGCGGTGGTGTACGCCTTTAATCCCAGCACTCGCCTTTAATCCCAGCAGATCTCTTGAGTTCAAGGCCAGCCTGGTCTACAAGAACTAGTGCAAGGACCGTCCTCAAAGTAACAGAGAAACCCTGTCTCGAAAAACCAAACAAACGTCTTGGGAGGCTGAGTCAAGGTCACTAGAGCGCAGGAATGGGGAAGCCTCGCTTTATGATTTTTTTAAGTGCCTTTGTTTGTTTTGGTAATAATACCATTTCTTTTTTCCTTCTAGTTTTCATTCAACATGTTTGATCACCCGATTCCCCGGGTCTTCCAGAACCGCTTCTCTACGCAGTACCGCTGCTTCTCCGTGTCTATGCTAGCAGGGCCTAATGACAGGTCAGATGTGGAGAAAGGAGGGAAGAGTATGTGCTTGTTTTTATTTTGAATAGTTACCTTTCCTGCCCCAAAGTCTGTGAATGAGCCTTGTAGCCTTCCATACCCCTTATTTTGCATGTGGGCATCAGACACTCGCATTATAGTAAAAATGTCACTCATCCTAGGGCATGGGCGGTGGGAGCAGGGTGCTAATTATGTTTGATGACCGCATGCCATCAGAGCACAGAAGTTAGTAACGTCAAGTAAGACTGTTTATGAGAAGTCATTATGAAGTTCTGATTACCCCAAAACCACTGTTTAAAGCTTTAAGAAGATGCATCTTGCCTTGACTTTGTTATAGCCCTTTTATTTTAATTTACTTAACATTCCTGAACTATTCTTTTTCACAGTAATTATGCCGCCCTCGGCCCTCGATCAGCTCAGTAAGTATGTTTTAAGTGACTCGACATTTGGGCAGTAGAAGGGTGCAGGCATGAGCATAGGCTCCTTATTGTGCACAGGCCTAGGTAACACTTGTCAGGGTCTGCTGGGCTAGGGGGACCAACCAAGGCCACAGTGCCTTACACGAGGCAAGGTGTGTGTGGTTGAGCTTTCCACGGCCTAGGCACTATAAGCACCCCTCTGAGAAGGGTATTCCTCCCTCCAGCCCCTCACCCCATTGCCTGACTTGCCTCAAGCACTTGTCCCAATACAAAGGTGCAATACATAGTGTTTGAGCAGTTCCTGTGGTGGTGTGGGCTCACTTGATTTCCCCTAGAAATGGTTGATTTACAAGAAGACCACGAGAAGTAGGTCTTCATCTCCTTTCCAGATAGCTCTCCAGAGCTCCAGACCGCCAGTGTGGCATTGCATCCTGAAGAAAGTGGAGGCTGAACTGTCGCTTTCTTCCTATGCAGATAAGGCCTCTTGTGAGAAGAGTCTCAGGCTTCCTTTCTTGGTTATGAATAGCCTTAATTATGGATGTGCTCTTGGCTTTTGGAGCTTGATGTTCCCACTTGAATTCACCCTGTGAAGATTGGTTATGGGGTGAAGTAATGACTTGCCAAGAATAGGTGCCGCTTTGCAGTGTTTGGGCTTTGTGCTTTGCCCTGCCCAATTATTAACTGGCTTTTCATAGTATCTCCTTTAAGCAGGGACACTATCAGTGCTTGCTAGTTGGAGCTGCAGTGTTTATTGGGTACATATCAAGCCCTTCTGGTTCTAGTGACAAGTGGGGAGGTGACCTATGTCCAGTGAAGGCTTCTACTTAGGCAGCAGGTAGAATAAAAGCCACGGGGTTCACAATAGGCTATCATTACAGAAGAAGCTTTTTGGGGTAAGCTGACTAAGGAGCCCAGGTGTGTTCCTTAGAACAGTGTCCTAGAAGATGCTCAGGAACTAGATCAGTGGGCTTCAGACCAGATTAGATCAATATTCGGACCTTTTTTTTTTTTTTTCCTTTTGCTGTACTGGGGATTCGGGTATACTGAGTTATACCTTGAGTTCTTTAAAAGTTTTTTTTTGAGACTGGGTCTTACCAAGTTAACTAAGCTGGCCTTGATCTTAAAATCTCCCGGTCTTGACTTTGTGAGTATCTGGGGTTACAGGTATTGCCACTGTGCTCAGCTGTTGATTTCTTAAGTTACTCTTCTAACCAAGGAAGACCGAGGGAGCCCTGATTTGTGAAATGCAGGTTATTTCTCTGGCTGGAGGTCTGGGGAGCTCCAAGTCAGGCTCTCCATCCGTCAGAGGCTGAGGGATACTACAGCAGTCCTGGGTCTGTGGCTGGAACCTGGTCTGGGGCACCCAAGAACATCCAGGGGTCAACTTGTAGCTTCTACACCTGGCAGTGTTTTAGTGATGGTGAGCCTAGCTCCTTGGCCCTGGGCTACTTGTCTTAGTCACCCTTATGCTAGCAAGGTCACCTTAGTGATACTGTTTTCTAAGCTGTTGTGAAGCACCCTACTCAAGCCCTTCCCCGATTCTTCATATTCTTTCAACATTTAGAGAGAGGCCAGAAGTCTGTTACCTCTCAATGCATAGTGGATATTTCTTGCCAGATGTGGTGGCGTACAACTGTAATCCTGACACAGGAGGTAGGGACAGGCCTCTGAGTTGGAGGCCATCCAGGGCTGTGGAGGAAGTCCTGGTGTGTGTGCTTAACCTGACAAGCTGCAGTCTACTTCAGTTCCCAGACTTAAGCAGATTTATTCTGGATCTTGACATACCATTCCTGAGCAGGGTAGTTTGGGACATACTATTTTACCCACATGTCTCAGTTTTCCCTATTATTTGAAAAGGGAGAGATGATAGTGCCTTACTGCTCTGGGAGGATTAAGCAAATGCCCAGGACATGGCAAACACCATTGGTACCCTCTCAGACCCTTCTCTGGGTGCCCCGGGCTTTTCTTGTCTCTTGTGGCCAGGCTCTCCTTTCTCTGACCTTGTGCCTTTGGAGTCAGTGTTCCACCTGTCCTGTTTACTGTCTCCTACCCTTTGTACAGCCCTAACGGAACTCTTAGACCACTGCAATGTGGAGACATACCGTGTTGTGAACTTGCTGAGCTGGGGCTGCCCACTGGGCCTAGATATGTGCTCTGTTCCATGTGTTCTCATCGTAGGCTCTCCCTTCCTGACTCACACTCACACCCAACCTCATCCATCTTGCCTCACTGCTGGCCATTCTTTGAACTGGCTGAGTTCTTCTCCATTTCTTTGCTCAGCTGCCTCCTTCCTGGATTGTGTGTTTGCTGGCTGACCTGGAAAGCTGGCTCTTCGGGGGCTAGGAAACCTGTTACCTGGTCTTTCTCGCTTCCCACTCTTTCCTTGCAGGTTCCTGCAGTATCTGCTGGTGCATATCAGTTCCCAGTCTCACCTCTCTAAAAATCCTTTAAAGGAACAGATTTTTGTGTGGCACATGGTTGCCACTTAAATTGTTAATGGATAGATAAATGAACATGGTACTTTTATTAACCATGAATTTAGAAAATCGTGTCTGTGCTGGTGCTGCATGACTTAAATTACCAAGTTCCTCTAAGGCCACATGGTGTGTTCCTGTAGACGGTGATACCCTTATGACTTAGCAGTAAGAAGATGTGAGCGAAAGCGCTGAAGTTTAGGGTACAAGGCCACAGTACAGGCATTGGGTGAATAAGGTTTCTTTCACAGGAATTGGTGTTGGATGGGATACCTGACTGTATCTTATAACCTCTTTGTTCTTAGGCCGGCTCAACATTACCTATCCCATGCTGTTTAAATTGACTAACAAGAATTCAGACCGAATGACACACTGTGGTGTACTGGAATTCGTTGCTGATGAAGGCATCTGTTACCTCCCCCACTGGGTGAGTTGGGCTGCGAGGGGTCTGTAGAGAGTTTCCCATGGGAACTTCGTAAGTAGAGACAACTCTTCTGCCTATATGTGCATGCCTGAGAGTCCTTCCTTCAAGTAAAAAGGCCCAAGAGGAGAACATCTTCAGCAGTGTGCTGTACCATGTTTAAAACATCCTGCTTAACTGTGTAGACACAGGTCATTGCAGACCTGGGTGCCTCATCAAGGACCCTGGAGCAGGGCCCCTCAGAGAGGCCAGCAGAACTACCCATTGAAGGAGGATCCTGAGGTGGCAGTCATTCTGAGGGTGGTGGTGGAGATTTCACACCTCTTTCCTTTCTTTCCCTCCCTTCTGTCCTTGCCCACTTGACAAAGTCAGCTTTGGGAAGTCTTCCCAGGGAAGCCTTGTAATAGCTGGCCTGGTCTCTGAAGCTGCCCTGATGGATGAAGTGCAGGGTAGCCACTCTTTCAGTCCTTCTCCTGCAGAGGCCCCTGTGGCTCACCTATTGAAGTGGGAGGTAGAACAACACTGCTCTGAAGATCTCCATTTAAGGCTCAGGCTTGCGGCTGGGATGGCTGCTTGCCCAAATTCTTTGACAACTTTAGCTCAGGAAACTATCTGGATTCCTTTCTCTGAGATGCTACGTGGCACCTAGGAAACCTGTATGGTATGGGGCTGTTCTCCCTTTGTGGGCTGTCCTTCTAGTTCATGCATGGGCAGGCATTTGCCTGCTGTCTCCCAGCTTCTAGCTCAGACGACAAGGGGGTATGTGCTTTATCTTACCTGGAGCTGCCAAGTTTCAGGGAAAACCAGGGGCAGGCTACATAAATGCTAGCCTGTCTGCTAGCTGCTGGACCCTCATCTCTTAACCGTTTGCCTGCCAGCATTGGGGTACTACAAGGCCAGGGCCTGCTATGCTATCTGCATCAAAGTGCCCACTAATGGGCTAGGCAGAGAGTGACGTCTCAGGTCCTTTTGCTTCCTTGTTGTCCTCAAGTCATTTCAGAAGTCTGTTCCTCAGGGCTTGGTCTGACACTTTTTCCTTCTTTGTGCTACACTCCATTTCTGCCATTACCAGCCCTTTAGTACAGTGTGCTGGAGTCTCAGCCTGGGGCTGCTGCTCAGCACACCCCCCCCC